TTTTGAATTGATTAAAACTGTCAGTTTATTGCATGTTTCTTATCAAAATCGTTTTAGAATTTAAAGTGTAAAAACTTTATTGATTCACATGTATGCTTATTGAATGTATTTCTTCATGATAAATCAATGCAGTTGACAGTTTATGTCTCATAACGTGTTCTATACTGTTGGGGATGTTAGATCCCCAGAACTCGCTTGATAAATACCTTATTTTGGATTTCACGTTTGAGAGCATGAGGTGATCAGTTGACCTTGAGATTTCATTTCCCATTAGGAAAATCCATGGCTGTGATTGGCTGCTGTGTATTTTAGTGTTCTGTTTTCGTAACTGTCCCAAGGACGTTTCTATGATGGATCAATAAAAGAGAGTTGTATGCTTGATTTTACTGTGATTGCTGGGTGTTCGTAGAATATACTTTCTACGCTCACGAAGACTTCTGTCTTGCAGTTTTTGGGTTTCAAGGTAGCCTATCTGGACGCTGGTTGATTGTCTCGTTCGTGTGTATCGACTTAGGTGAACTCGGAATAACTTCAAGCGTGCACCTAGTGACCAGCGTAACATATACACACTTCCTAAAATAATACCAGAGATGAATTGTATTCAGAGAATTACATCTTTCTAAATCAATGCAAATTAATCACTGAATGCGAAACAATGCGATCATTTCCTAGTTCTTGGTACTGAATGAATTCTATCGATCATAGTGCAATGTAATCACTGATCAATGTGATTTCATGGCGTGTTTTAATTTTTAGCGGTTAAAGGAAATCAACCAAGGTTTTATGCCAACTTAGACTTATCATTAATTGCAACTATGAATTTACGTTGCTAAAACTAGAGGTTGAATTGTAGTTCAATCGATAAAGTATTATCAAGTCTAAGAGCTAGTGTGAATATCTCATTCTCACTTATTTACATCTAGTGAAGCATGGGCCACCGATCAGCATTCTCCAACTAACTGTGTCCTAAGCCCTCCTTCCCAGTTCTAACCATTATCTATTCATTCTGGACGCAGTGTGTTCCCTGGGTCTATCTCTTCTCCTTTGGTCCTAAGGGTTCTAAGCGAGATCTAACTGCTATGAATATCTTCTTTCATTGTGACACTAGGTACAGTGAGTTTGCATCAGATAAGGAGTATCAGTTCCTTCAAGACTAGAGATACTGTTTAATGATGAATGGTGAATTACACATAGCCAGTGTTTACAAAGCCTTCTAACAGACTATCTTCAAACACCTCAGATAGAAAAAAACATTTCAAAACCTCAATTCCAATCTCAATGCGTGGTCTTGTGTTTGATTCAGTATGCTAACTCACTTGATAAATATCTTTTCTTTGAATTTATTTCATGGGCTAACCGGTTGAACTTGAGGTCACATTTCCCACCAGCGGAATCCTTAGCTGTGATTGGTTACTGTGTTATTTTAGTGTGCCATTTTTGTGACTCTCCTAAGGACGTCTCTATGGTGTATGAATAAACACGATTTGTATGCTTGGATTCATCGTATGCCGGCTGGGTGTTTGTAGAATACACTTTCTACACTATATCAAGACTTCTTGCTGGTACAATTTGGTCAAGGGATCAGAGTAGCCTACCTGGACACTGGTTCATTGTTTTGTTCTCGTTATTCAACTAAGGTGAACCCGTAATAGTTTTAAGCATACCTAGAGACGAGCGTAACAGATTGTAATCTTTTTGTTATATACCTTTCATTCACTAAGATAATCATTATTCACAGTATGTTTCCTTATTCGATGATGCCAAACACTATCAATATTGATTCTTTCTATACGAAAATGATTTCGTACTACTACATGAATTCAGATTCACAGAAAGAATAATTATCCATAATTACCTTTGAAATACTTGAAAAGCCTTAGATACTCTTAAATCTAAGAATAATAACATGCCTTCTTTCAACTTTAATATTGATATTGTACAGTCTCAGTTCATTAGTACACCAGACCAACTTTTTAATGTTTTTTTTACCCGGTACATAATACTTATAAACAAGCTTACATTAGGTTTAGACGATTACCTTGAATTCCAACATCCACTGTAAATTATAAACTATACTTTTATTATTGCAGACTTTTTCACTAAAAAAAATCAGTATTCTACTAAATTTTTCTATCGCAATTAAACATACACCAATTAGGATCTTCATTGAAATTATTTATCACAATAATCCAATACTTAGAATCATTTTCCAGCCGAAAATTAATCTCCTAATTTTAAAAAAAGGTGAATATTTGATTTTTTGCATTTCCACTGATTAGATTTAAGGGAAATATACATTATTATGTGATATTTTTTATAAATAAAGTTATGGAGATTGTTGCTGATTATTAAACTCATGAATCGATCATTGTTAGACTACCAATTGAAACCTGGAAGCACTGGATGGCCGTTCTTCCTGGAATGGGACCCACCAGCAGCGCGGATCCACAATTGATCAGAGTTAACCGTCAGTACCGTTGGATACCGGCTCAGTGGTCCAGAGATTAAGCTTTCGAAGGTCCTGAGTTCGATTCTTGACAGTAGCGGCAGTCGTTGATGCGCACTGCTGACGAGTATCATACCAGAACGGGACGACCGATCAATGCCTCCAGGTTTCTAATAATGGTCTGACAGTTTTTTAATCAAGTAGATGATATTGAATATGCAATCGGAAAAATTCTCATTAATCAGCATATTCTTATTTTAATCTAATAGCTGATATGAATTATTTATTGTTAAGTATATGAAAATGATAATTATGCTAAATTTATATTTAAGTTTACCTGTTTTGTAAAATCTATATAATTCCCCATTTTGATGATTGATGTTAAACAAACTACACCAACATAATGATCACTCATGAACCTCTTTTTTATCCATGTATGTAGGTGTTAGAAACTAATCCAAAGAGGTTATATCATGGATTGTTTATCTTACATATCAAGCGCCTCACCTTGAGACCACTAGTTTTTTTATTCAGTGCTTCACATTTTCAACCAGAATTAACTTACAGTATGGGTATCATGGTCATTTTATGTCAGTATTGATCAATGGGTGATCGATGTTTTTCATTGTAAATTGAGTAAAATTAGAATTGTCAAACATTGAAAATCATCTCAGCAACCTAAATTGACATGATTCAAAGGTTCAGAGTTCTATCCATGACAGTTTTTCTTGAACACATCTAGAGAGTTCCATAATAAAGCCAAAAAAGTAAAACTTTTTCTCCTTATATTCCGATGGTATCATGACTGGTGTTATTTCATAATGAATAAAATCTATCAATTAAAAAAAACAATCTCCGAAAACTCCGCAAAAATTAATGACCTAGAATCGAAATTTCTGGAACTTTGAGTCGTTGACTAAGTTAAGTTTTGTGTACATTATAACCCCGAAAAATAGCTTTTTAAACTAGTCCTTCCCAGCAAGAAACACAGCGAAGCCACCTAAGTTATTAGTTGTATGCATTTTTTACGTAGATCGCAGTTGGTCCACTATTTGAAATCATAGAATAGTGGATAGCTGTTTCGTCAAAGCATGAGACTCTTCAGAAGCGTGAACCTAAGATTTATTGTATTATCAATTACTAGGATCATTAAAATCACTGAGGCGTAGGCAATTACTATAATTTCAAATTACACTAATTAATGACCATATGCGACAACCATTTGTGTTAGGTACTGTAGTGAAGGAGAACACAGGTGAGGGCAACCGAATTGTATTTAACGAAAATTACAGAGTTACTCAGTAAAATAGGAAAACCATATCGTAAACGGCTAATTTGCAAAACATCAATCCATCATCAATCCATTGTCTGACATTTCACTGTTCATGCGTTTCATACAAATTCCATTGTGTTCCCACTCTTCCTTTCTTGATCTTCTGCCATCTTCTGCTGCCAGACATTACGTTTACACTCGCGTCATATACTACTTATAAGTAGCGCGCACCACAGTACAATCTGTAAATTAAATTAATCTCTCTAAAAAAACCCTTTAAATAGATTATTACTAAGTATTCTATGATTTTAAAATGTTACTGTTTAACTTTGATTCCTAAAAAAAAACAAACAATATTTTCATTAATCGGTTTTTTGTTCATTTACCTTGTTTAGTTGGAATTTAATAGTTTAGCTGCACAAAGTGGACAAATCATGAATGGTGATCAATTATTAGGTATCAATGGTCAACGTATACAATCAAGAGAACATGTTATTGATTTATTTCAACAAAGTAAATCTAAAGTGGTGTTATTAATTGCACGTGAAAATTATTGTCATGAGAGTAGAACAACAGTTAAAGAGAATACATCGAGTTCAATTCTTCCGAAAACATTGAATACAACACCAGCAGCAGCGGCAGCCGCAGTAGCGACGACACCGGCACCACTGACACCAAAGACAACAACATCATCATTAGATTTAAACAATAAATTAGAAAATGAATCAAATTATTTAGCACAAAATTTCATTCATCAAAATTCTCAAACATGTTCATCATCTTCAATCAAAGAATTATCTAGTAATGAATTATGTACAACACATGAATTTTCTTCTAATTCTACCAATAAAAATTGTTCAGATTTTCCGGTAAGTTTTGTTTTGCTTTAAGTTAATTTACACATTTTTTGAAACCATGAATCGATCAATGTTAGACCACCATTAGAAACCTGCAAGCACTGGACGGCCGTTTCATCCTGGTATGGGACTCCTCAGCAGTGCACATCCACGACTACAGGATTCGAACCCAGGACCTTCGGTATTGTGCGCGAACACCCTAACCGTTAGACAAATGAGCTACTGAGGAGTCCCATACCAGGACGAAACGGCCGTCCAGTGCTTCCAGGTTTCTAGTGGTGGTCTAACATTGATCGATTCATGGTTTCAAAAATATGTAACTTAACAATCTTCACAACCCCGTAATGCAAATTAAGTTAATTTGTTTGTCATTGCTCTTGTATGTCAAGGAGTAACCTGGGCTAAGATAAAGAAGTGCTATTAAAACTCCTATTTTGAGACTTTTCAGAACCAGACACTTGTGAATCAACGATTGATTGAACATTGAACTATTGTAGAGAATACGATAATTGTACAAATTTAAACAAAGCAAGAAGAACAATGTTGGGGATGTTAGATCCCCAGAACTCGCTTGATAAATATATCTTTATTTTGGATTTATTTCATGGATCGATCAGTTGACCTTGAGATCACATTTCCCACCAGGAGAATCCTTGGTTGTGATTGGTTACAGTGTCATTTTAGTTTGCTGTTTTTGTGACTGTCCCAAGCACATCTCTGTAGAATATAAATAAACGCAACTTTAGTGCTTGGTTTTATTGTGTGCTCGATGGGTGTTTGTAGAATACACTTTCTACGCTATATCAATACTTCTTGCTGGTAAAATTTGGTCAAGGGATCACAGTAGCCTACTGGGACGCTGGTTCATTGTTTTGTTCTCGTTATTCAACTAAGCTGACCCCGTACTAGTTTAAAGCATACCTAGAGACGAGTATAACAAACAACATTTAAGACGTTGGATGGCTTCATTGTATTTCTTTTGTTTTCTATTCAAATATATACAAGCTAATATGTTGAAATATTTCCATATAATGATATAATGTTGAAAATTAATTTACTAAACAATAACCAGTAACTTCTGAGTAATATAAAAGATTTCAATTTATCGCATTGATCGTTTTCTGTAAATATTATCGTTCTTTCTACGCTTGAACAAGACTATTAGGTAAGGTAGTGGTCAGTGCTTAAAGCTTAGACCATTGAATCGCTATCCAGTGATTTACATTTCCAACTTCAATCGTTTTGGTACACCAGGGTGTCAGGTAGCTGTGTGTTTGCACCACGGGATTGAGCCGAACTGTTCATGTCGAAATGATAACATGTGGGCAGTCTAATTGATTCTCCTGAAAACCAATGTAAAATTGCTTTTGACAAGAGAGGGTTAATTTGTGGAATAATACTAAGTATATAATAAACTTTGAGCGATTCATATGATTGCCAAATCATTCCCCATTTCCATTGGTGATAGTTGTTTGTACTTCATTGATCACAGCTTGAAGTTAGTCATTAGTAAGCACATGACCTTATTTTTAGTGTACAAGATCCGTCGGAATTGTTTAATGTTTATGTGTTACATCACTAACTTTGTTTAGTTTGATAATCATTGTTTTTTTCTCTGGGCCAATATTGTTTACTACCCGCATAGTTAAATTTCAGATTATTTCTTCTAGAAAATCCAGTTCCTTTTAGTCATACTGCAGCAGTGGAATGTTCTAAATAACTCCTAACATTGATTTTTAAAACAGAATAAAACTAAAATCCTCAATTTCATACCAAATGCTATATTTCTTGCAAAACCAGTATGAAATTATGACTAACTGTTTGTTGAATAGTGATTAATGTCATATTATAGTGATTGAATTCTATCGATCTAGTTGTGATCTAGCCATAAGTCCATGATTCGGCATTATATGAACTGTGTAAAGGTCTTAGATGATTGGGGACAGTTGATAACAAACACTATTCGACATAGTCTTCGTACCAGTAATCATGAAGGAACTGATGACCAGTATCAACTAACAAAAAGCCCGGATCGAACACGGTTTTTATGTCGAATGCCTCCAATCACATAATACAATACAAAAATTGGTCTATTCAGAAATTTATATCTGAAAGTCAAATAGTTAATTGCATAAGTATATACATAACAGAAGGTTGAAATTAAACTGTTCTTATGAGTTATCGTCTTTTGATCTTTACTTCCCAGAACTCACTTACTGCCTTTCCGACTCTAACTTTCCCTTCGTTCTTCTCTCTCTCTCTCTCTCTCTCTCTCTCTCTTGAGTACTCAAGTACTATTTATCACTACACTACATTTAAACACTTCTTCTTCCTAGTATCTTTCAATAGTTTCAACATACATTGTGTTCATACAATAAAAACTTATTCAAAATAAGACCATATAAGTTCACTGGTTTGCTTTCTCATTCATATTTTCTCATTAATCTGGTGGATATGAGTTAATTCAAACTGGTCGGTTTCATTGTTCGCCTCACGTAAAATTCATGATTATTATTATTATTATTGTTTTTGGATTTTGTTATTCTTGTGATTGCCATTACTGATATCATGCATATAGATATATACATATATTGATCATCGTGCAATACTACTACAACTACTATACTACTACTAATCATACGAATACTACTTAAAAATATTTATTGACTTTCTGTCAAATGTCAGATTCATTATTATTATTATTACTAATATTTAGTTTAAGGCACATTACGTAGAGTTTTAGTTGTTTACAAACCCGTTTTGTAGACGTATCACAAATTCTGAACTGTATGACTCATTTATATTCATTGATATATTATATTCTATGCAGAGAGAACTTTAGTTTTAATTACGTACATAGCCAAACACGAATTGTAGATTGTAGATTGATGGTAATTCAGTGAAACTATAAGAATTATGAGACAGAAAAAAACACACAATTTGAACATTGAACAAAGCAAGGCAATAATTGCATACTAACTATTCATTGGTTTTTAAAACAATGAACCCAGCAGGTTTAAACTATAGGAGGAGTTTTGTCATATCAATTACATTACATTACATTACATTGTACAATGTTCAATGAAATAAACATTGTGTGTGTGTGTGTGTGTGTATAAAACTTGAATGAGGTAAATCAATCTTTTTTTGTTTATATTATTAGTTAGTGATAATATAAAGGAAGATTGTTTACACTGTTTTTTTTTCAGAAAAGAAGAAAATCATTACTCATAATCATAGTTAGCATGTTACACAAACACACTTATTGTTCCTTTCTAGTGGTACTATGTCCGTTGAGCTAGAGATGTTTTAGTTGTGGAGTGTTTATGATCATCCTTGACAGTTTTTAAACATGGAACTCTAAAACTACCTCAAGTTGGATATTGTCGAATCACGCTAACTATGTAAGCATATCATATCGTGTAGTGGATTCGGCTTGTGATTAGTTACTTTCTTGCTTACTTACTTATACCCGTTACTCACAGGGAAAAATAGGCTAATGACAAGAATCCTACAACCTACTTCTTAGTGTGGTCTTTTTTCTAGATGTTTTCAAAGGCTGTTTATTCTTTTGTAGTCTGCCTCTGATTTATGGTGCGATTAGTTTTTGGTTTGTCTTTTATCCTTTTGCCTTGAGGATTACAAGTTAGGGTTTGCCTTGTGATTCAGTTTAGTGATTTTCGCAATTACTTGTTCTATCCACCTTCATCGATTTTTCCCAATTTTTTTCATCAGCTGGAAATGTGTATGTTCTCTACCACCGTAGTTTGTTGCTGACAGTGTTGGGTCAGCTGATCTACAGTATCTTATGTAAACAACTGTCTATAAATACTTATATTAGTTTTAATGATGATTCTGCTAGTTCTTCAAGTTTCAGCCACATACAGTAAAACTATCTTAACGTAAGTGTTGAGTATCCTGACTTTGATGTTGGTTGACAGTTGTTTTGAGTTCTAGATGTTCTTCAAATGTTTTAATGCAGCGCTTGCTTTACAAATCTGCGCTTTCACATCTGCATCACATCTACATTCGTCGTCAATGATTCTTC